CTCCGAATCGTAAATCAATATGACAATGATTCAATATATAACATAATTCAATACATAATTTACATAAATTTGCTAATGAGAGGAGAAAAAGAATGATCTCTATCTATTATATGATAAATATATTCCTATTCACAAGACTATATAAGATAAATAAAGAAAAATAATAAAATTCTAATTTTTAAAATTGAAAAGTAATTATAAGATAAAGTAATTATAATTTACTTTATCTTGTTCACAATTGTTCAATCATATTCCGATGCTTTGTCGATTTTCAAGAATTTAGATTTTTGCGATTTAAATTCTTAGAATTCAAATTCTAATTATTTTATCAATTAGCATGAAATTGTATATCTCATATATAGAAGAATATTTACAAAGCAAATGTTTTATATTATTAAAGCATCTATTTTATATTTTTTTAAAATCGCAAAGTATTATATATTATTAGTATATATAGGATATATTATTAGTAATACCTTATGCATTATTATAGCGTTTATGACTATTTATGGTTTTTTTTTTGTAATAATTCAAATTTCATCGCCATTATAATTATAGTATTGCCATCTACACACAAAATGTTGAAACTTATAAAACTTTATAGACTAGTTATCGATACGTGGCAAGAATTATTGATATCTTATTCTTTTTGGATAATTTTTAATTACTGATCTTGAGGATGGAATATCGATATACTAAATAATTGATAACTTACATAAATTACAATATACTATTACTGGATGTTAAGTTACCATATAGGTAAATATATGTTTAGGAAATACATACATGAAAAATACATGAAAACTCGTCTATTTCTTAATACATTTATATTCATCACAATTGTTTGTATCGTAGCATTCAATAGAAAATATACTTATGCATCTGTAAAATGTTGTATTTCTACAAATTCTTAGATGAAACCAAATACACGATAGCAAACTGCTATCTTATCCATCCTATCGTATTCGTATTTTTATATGGTTTACATTTTTTACAGAAGTCGTGTAAAGGTGCCCTGAGGAATATTAAATCCAAGTTATTCAAAGGAAAATTCGGTTACGTGCGACGAAGTCGTATCAAAGTCCTCAACAAGACTGCATGTGCTTATCGTAATCTTATCGCCAAAAAGCTAGGCTAATCTACCGTTGCGAAGAGCCGAAACGATCCGCAAAAAACAAGTTAAATAACAAGCTCGCTAGACCCCCAGCAGGCAATTACGCGATGGCTTACGAAATCGCGGTCTATCGCGCGATAAATCTGGAACTCCCACCTCCTTCTGCCACGGTTGTAAATCCCGGTTTCCCGCGATGTCGCGTGCAGTTCATTCCGACTGGTTCGCTGTCGCCGTTCGTCGTGCCTGTCAATTTCACAGTGACAAGGTAATTCTCATCCTTTGCCATCGTTTCATCGCATCGATTCACATGTGGTTAAAAGACTTGGGTATAACAATCCGGCCGATTTTTCTTATCGATTGCTCCATCTTTACATATCAAATCGAATATCATCGTGATACTAACTGGATGAATTTAAATGAAAAGACGACGACATCTCCCTTTCTAAAATATTTAAAATATATCTTTATATTCGCGCGTTAAAAATTTTTAGAGTTGCTACTTTAATTTATTAAGAGACGCTTATTTTCTCTCATGACTTGCAATTTATTTTTTCTGTGTGTTTATTTCTTATTCTGTTTCATCGTGTCTTTTATTCCTGTTACATTTCTCAATGTGAAGCGGAAGCGGAAGTCTATGCTCAAGCGGCAAGGCATTCCATGTGCTCGCTTATAACGGTATAATCGCGCATGATCTTTCGCTTTTCGTTGGATGCTGGGTGACGTAAGAGTGATAATCGGTCATTGCTATTTTGTCGGATCATAGTCGTCATTCGTCGGAGAACATGCAATTGATGTATACGCAATTGTCAATCGTCATCAGTAATAAGATGACGTGACATGACACGTGACAACACGTGAGAAACATGAGGGCTATATACATGTGAATTATTTCGAATATAATTATGCGGGATGAGACACATTTTATATCGTTCATTATGAAAAGTATATTTTTGATTTTTTTTTTCTTGTTCACTAAGATACTTGTTTTTAAAAATAATAAAAAAGAAAAGCATTCTTCTAATCTCTTATCTTTTTCCTTTCCTTTTCATTTTATCAATTATTTTATTAACTGCGGCATGTATATTTTAGATGACAAATTTAAACAAAATAGTCGACATATGGAGAACTGCGGATGCTGTAACATTTGATGTGGATTCCACTGTGATAACGGAAGAAGCCATCGATGAACTTGCCAATTTCTGTGGAAAAGGAGAGGAGATTACTAAATTGTATGTTGCCCAGTCCTGATTAAATAGCTTTGCTCACAATGAAGCAATGCTGGATTCCACATCTTTTAAATATTGAAACATATTTTTCAGAACAAAACAGGCTATGCAAGGCGATATGACATTTGAACAATCCTTACGGACAAGATTGGGAATTATAAATCCAAGTCTAACTCAAGTGAAAGAATTTTTACATATACATAAACCGAAACTTACCAGTGGTGTCAAGTAAGATATTTTCTTGAGAATATTAATGAAAATAAATTTATATATTGTATCTTTATGAATATTCATCCTATATTTTAGAGAATTAATATCAACTTTACAAGCACGTGGGAAGCAAGTATTTCTTATTTCTGGTGGCTTCCGCTGTCTTATTATACCAATTGCCATGCGACTCAATATTCCACATGCCAATATTTATGCCAATAGGTTAAAATTTTACTTTACAGGTGAATGAAATATATGCGCTTATTTGTATTTTATTATTTATATCATGCATTTATATCGTTCATATATATATATATATATATATATATATATATATATATAATAATATGAACGACACACACACACACACACAAATGTATGTATATATGTGTAGGAGAATACGCTGGATTCGATGAAACTCAACCAACGTCTAGAAGCGGTGGCAAAGGTCAAGTAATACGATGTCTTAAAGAGGAAAAAGGATTCAAGACTATTGTACATATTGGTGATGGCTCAACAGATTTAGAAGCTTCACCGCCAGCAGATGCGTTCATAGGTATTTGAGGATTTTATTGTCTCTAAATGTCTCGTATCATTCTATTTCATGTTAAAAAATGGTACAAATTATACTATGAATTACTAACTACATTTAATTGTCATTGTTATACTTATTTCCAGGCTTTGGTGGAAACGTAGTTAGAGAAAATGTAAGATTACGCGCTCAGTGGTTTGTCACCAATTTTGATGATCTCAAAAATAATTTATAAAATATATAGTATATTTAAAAAATAATACAAAATCATTTCAAAATATAAATTAAAAATAAATATATTAGGTCATTTAAGAGAGAAAAATCATTACATCTATCAAGAATTACATTATAATAATTAATATCGACTTATTGAAAACGTAAAAAATGTTTATAAATAACATATTTTATTTTACACAATACATGAAATATACAGTTATCTTTTTGATATAATTTTTCTAAAATTGTGTTTCATCTATAGACATTTTAATTATTAAGTAATTATTAATATGTAATATATTAATATATTCTCACAATTCTATACCTGTTTACACCTAACCCTGTACATAATTACATTGCAAAATATGTATACAAAATTACTGTCGAATGTCCGCAAGCGACATAAGATCATGAGACAAGATAAAAAATGATGAAATGGAGCTATTCATATGCGAATTAATGAATTTGAAATAACGATTTGCTATAAATCTGGATTTTTTTTTAGCAATCGGAAGGTTGTTGTCAATGTATTTTTGATCTTGAGATTTAATTTCAAACTTCTACGAAGTAGAATGTATTATATTATACTTCTACGAAGTAGAATGTATTATATGTATTATATGCGTAAATTTTAATATTGTTCTATCGTGATACAATTGACGATAAATTATGTATCAGTGCTTAACATTTTCTCTTGTTTTTTTTGCGAAATCCATTCCTGTATCTTCTGTTGAAGTTCGACATTCGATTTTATCATGTCCATTGTAAGTGGAGATCGATTAAAAGGATCAGTTTGATCACTGAGCAAATGTCTGAAAAATACATTTTATAAAATATAAAATTTACTGTTTATATGTTTGTTTGTTTGTTTGTTTGTTTGTGTGTGTGTGTGTGTGTGTGTGTGTGTGTGTGTGTGTGTCGCG